AAAGAAGTGCTTAAGAGAAGATGGAACCTATTTAGACCAAAACATTCCCTACCCTAAACCAAAAGCCTTCACATTGACTCCACAAAAGCCCTATATGATCTTGAGTTGAATGACGCTTAAATTAGTGGATACTTACATGAGGGGCAAGCATATGGTACTTATAGCCGGACTTGTGGCCTTTCCTTGAGAGAGATGAGTGAATTCCTATTAACCTCGGTTTATGTGCTAATACTCTAAAAGGTGAAGTTTGCTTAGGGAGAGTTGAGGATGTCTGAGTTTGGATTCCACAATGACCAAAGTAATTGAGAGAGTTCTTTGATGTAATGAGTCAACTCTTGATGCTCTTGTGTCACACTTTATCCATGATTTTTTCAAAGTTTAAATGTTGTTAATGATTCATTCGTATTGAGGGCAATTGTTAGTCCCAATTGATGCTTGTTGAGGTTACTTTAGGATAGCTGGAAATACTTGGATTTTCCCTTAAAGGGTGGGTCTTATTTTGTTTAATTTGGGGGAGTTGATAAGTAGGGATTTTAACGAGTTTCATGCTCCTTCTTGCCTATGCTTTGATTATAAATTGTTACAAAATAGTCCCAAAAGGGTCATAAGTTGTGCTTGATTGCAGGTTTGATCGACAAAGTGACGAAATGTCAAAGATCGGCTCAAAAGGAGTGAAACCTGCTCAAGTATCAAAGACAAAATCGAATGCGGCCGCACTAGGTGATTTAGAGAGATGGCAAAACCAGGCTTCAGGCAACGCGGCCGCAGTACACATTGTGCAGTCCGCGGTGAAGGCTCCATGGCCGCACTACCTTTTTGTGCGGTCCGCGGAAGAGAGATTTAGAGATATGGCAAAATCAGGCTTCAGGCAACGCGGCCGCAGTACACATTGCTAGATTTCTTTTGTTGTCGTTTCTTTGATCTTTCCTAGACTCCATTTGGACCGAGGTCAGGCATTGAATAGGCCCATTGAAATCATCCTCGTCGGCTCTTACCTCGGCACAGTAGGCATTGTATATCTCATCCCAAGTGGTTAGAGGGTATTTCATGAGTCGGTTCAGAAATTTTTTGGTCGCCCTCGACCCACTTATGCTCAGCCCATTCAGAAAAGTGGCCATCGTCATCCCTTCAGATATATTCGAAAGGGTCATTCTTACACGGTTGAATCGGGCGAGGAAGTCCCTGAGTCCCTCGCCAAGAGATTGCTTGATGGAGAATATGTCGTTCACACTTGTCTTCGCTTTCTTGGCCCAGGCATGGGCGGTGATGAACTTGTCAGCTATTTCTTCTAACGTTTCTATGGAGCGCGCAGGTAACTGCAAGTACCAAGTTAGGGCCCCGCCGGTTAGGGTCTCTCCAAACTTCTTCAGCAATATGGATGATACTTGTTCTTTTGCAAGGTCGTTGCTTTTTACTGCAGTGATATAGTGGGTCATATGATCCTCCGGATCCGTCCTGCCATCATATATTTTCAAATATAGAGGCATTTTGAAAGTTTTTAGTATAGCATGTGGCGCGGCCTCGTCGCTATATGGTTGTTCCATGAACCGGTCGGCGTCCCGTTTTGGTAGGAGTTTTGGGGCGCCCGGTATTTTATCTACCCTTTCTTGATGCTCCCTCATTTGGTCGCGTAATTCCTTATTCTCGTTTTCCATCTCTTTCATTTTTCTAAAAATAGCAGTGAGGGCATCGTTACCTGCATCATTAACAAAGTGAGTAGTACCTGTCGTGGGAGGTTGGGTGTGCTGCTCATTGGTTGTTGTGGTGATGTCAACTCGCACACTCCTTCTGCTCGCCCTCTAAGCGGGTTTATCTAGTATGTTGTTCAGTGTATTCGTTAGCCATGCTTCTAATAGTTTTTTTACCGCTGGTGGTGCTTCTTCGGTAGTGGACGTAGAGACTCCATTTCCATGAGAAGCGGTAACGCTGCCATGAGGAGGGGGTGAATCACTTCGCCTGGGTGAGGCGCTTGATGTCACGTTCTCCTCGTCCTCTCCATGAGCTTCGTCGATAGTGTTTAGGAGATTAGCGGTGAGATCGGCAATCGCCTTTATCTTTTCTTCTCCATTGTCTGTCATATCAGATCTGTGCAAACAACGAGAAACAGGACTGTGCAGAGTTTTTTGTGTGTGTTTTTTTTATCTAGAAAAAACTAAAACTTTTAACTAGAAAATTCTCACAAATGGCGCCAAATTGTTTGACCAAAAAGTTTTAAACCTTTTTGTTAAACTAATTAAGTGAATTATGGTAGGTAAATTCTAGTTAAATATAATAAGTTCTAGATCCGAGAGTAGAATTTGGGTAAGACTATTTTTCAAATGCTTATACCCGTATATTCAGTCATTTAATGCACATCTTAGGGAGTTAATGGAGAATAAGCAATAAATATGAGAAATGACAATAAATGTAAATAGGATAAACAAGTCACCCAAATATCAAATGATGTGGAAGATTCTTCCTTTTAACAACGAAATGTGGCAGTCACCAAGAATATGAGTAATACTTTCTTGGATCATGTGAGTGGAAAGCAGAATAATAGATGAAATCAATCACTATAGAAAGGTAAACTTTGTATTTTCTCTCAATGGTCAACTTCTTACAATAGTTTTTCTTAGATTCGATCTCACGTGCTTTTTTTCTTCTCTCTCTCCCTCTTTCTATTTATAAGGGGTATTCTCTAAAACCCCTAAAAAGTACAACAAAAGGAATATCCATGAGAATATTCCTGTCACTAGTTCCAAGATTACACTAGTTGTTATTTCTATCTTTCGCTATTCGACCTCGACCTCTACGGCTCGCTCTATGACTGCTCGTTAGTGGGCTTTGGTCGACCTCGTCCTATCTGCCCAACTCAGGACACAGTCTTTTCACCTTACGATCTTTCCACGCCCAACTTCCTCAGCAAAATTTTGACCCATACAAATTCCTTCAACTAATTCTTAGACATTATTATTAACTTTAAAACTCAAAATTTTATCTAAACACTCTCCGATTTGTTATTATTATTGATCGTTTCTATATGTTTTCTGAAAATTGCTTTCTACTCACCAATAACACTACGAAATATTTTCTATAGAAAATGACTTGCGGCCATGAGTCATATTAAAAGTTCTTGAGAGGTATAGAAAGTAGTTGGGACTTGGGATTTCAATCCACAGCAAATAATCTTTAGTAAGATACACGCACACACATGAAGCAAATGAAGAGTGGTTGCACATTTTGAGTCAAGTTAATTTACCACGTCTCTGCTTTTTAACTAAATTCATGCACATAAGTACAACCAAGAGTAGTTGAAAAGAAATCATGATCCAATTCAATGAGCACTGACTAACCAACTCTTCAAAATAATCGTAGGAGTCTATACAATTTATTTATTTTTATATTGAACAAGAAAATTTAAAAAATACATAAAATGTGTCGATTAATGTTTCCAACACTATTATTTAAGTTGCAAAACTTCATGTTGGATATAAGAAAAAATCATAATCTTACATGAAATTTTTTTGATCAATTTATAGATATTATTTCGTATTTTGTTCCTAAAGTGGGATTCTAATGTTGCTTTCCAGAAGGGAGACTTAGAGGCATTTTATCAAATTGTGAAGGAATAATAATTTTAAATTCTCCGTAATAATGTAGCAAATGCTACAAAATCATATTAATTGGTGGGTTAGTTGAACAATATTTTGGAAATTCGTACCACTAAACACTTAATTTAATTTGTACTAATAGCTATACATGATTATCCTCTCTTATAAGCTTAATAGGTTTAGAGAGAAAGGACAAGAAGCAACAACATATGCAAATTGAAAATAGAATAGGTCAATGAAAGAAACAAAGAGTAAAGAGCCCTATTATTAGTAATTAAGGACTTTAGGTTCATTCCTACACAAACATTATCCTAAAAAAAGTTTATTTGACTAATGATGGTGGGGGTGGGATTATCTCACATGATTTGAAGCAGCTTCCTCATGTTTCATGGACCTGTCTGCTAGCATCTAGTAAACATTTGGAGTATATTTGAGTCTAGGTTGGAAATAATATATATTTAAAGCTGCAGTTGAAAAAATATATTTTAATGTCGAAGTTGAAAAGCATCTAATGGAATTGATGGAAAACTTGGAGATTTGAAATAGAAGGTATCCCGGATATAAAGTAATCGAGGTACACACGAGATAGGTCGTATATTATTATTGTAAAAAAAAAATCGTAGATTGAAAACTAACAATTCACTTGAACTACAAATAAAACCACCATTTTTTATTTGAAATTCAAATATTATAGTTTAGTATTTGTAAGTATTCATGACCGAATAAATATTTAAGTATATTGATGCAATCGAATTAGGGTAGACTGTCTACATCACATTCCTGAAAATATGATATTTTCTCGCATGAATGTGTAATATTTTGTGTACATTGAAATTCAATATTTGGAAATATTGCAACACTTAGTGGGTGGGCGTTTGGACATAAGAATTGTAAAATTCCAAAAAAAAGTGGAAAAAAAATTCAGGTGAAAATGTTATTTGAAAATTAGAGTTGTGTTTGGACATGAATATAATTTTAGGTTGTTTTTAAAGTTTTGTGAGTGATCTGAGTAAAAGTTCTGAAAAACAGCTTTTTGGAGTTTTTCAAATTTTTAAAAAATTCCAAAATGCATCTTCAAGTGAAAATTGGAAATTTTATGAACAAACGCTGATTTCGAAAAAAAAGTAACAAAAAGAGAAAAAAAAGTTATGTCTAAACGGGCTCTTAGTATTTATGCACAAAGGACTATCCTTGCTTGTGCGGGTGTACATGGACCGGGCTGGTTCGGTTTTTATCAAAACCAAATCAAAGCAACTATATCGGTTTGGATAGGTTTGGTTTTGTCAGATTTTTCGGGTTGTCGGGTTTTCGGGTTTTTTTTGTTACATGAATATTATTTCAATCTTACTTTGTTAAAATTATAGATAAAGCTTTGATAAGTGAATATATGTTTAGTAAATATGGAAAAAATTGACAAACATATGATCTATTAAAATATTCTAATGGGAGAATTTTTGACCTAATTACATTCAAGAAGAATAGAAAAAAATTTAAGAATCCAAAGCATAAAGTATGTTATAAAAAGATGTGCAACAACTCAATTAAAAAGCTGGAATCCACCAAACTCTAAGGCTTTTATCAAGACTTCCACTATACAACATAAATCCACCTCCAACACTAACTGGTGAAGCTTGTAAACACTTAACTGGACCTTCATGTCCTTTTATAACTCCAACTCTAAATAACCCTCCATTTATTTCCCTTTTCCAAATACAAATACTCTTATCAGCTGATCCACTACACAAAAATTCCCCCTTTATCAAACACATACACAATACTGCCATTCCATGTGCTTTCTCTTCACATACTAATTTCCAACTATCAAGATTCTTGTTACCCACCCACCCCATCACATACCCATCTGACCCCCCTCCATATACAAAATTCCCATCTTCAGAAACCACCACAGAGTTTAAAGAAACATCTTTATGACCCTCCAAGATTCCCTTTAGTGAATGTGTACCCCCACAACTTTTCTCTTCTTTACCCCAAGCTTTAATCTTTCCATCTGCTGAAGCTGAAAACACAACCCCATTTTTACTACTACATACCAATCCATTTATAGCATCATCATGTGCTTTAATTGATTCCAAACACTTCAAATCAGAAATTCTCCACACTTTTAAACTCTTATCCCAAGAACCAGAATAAATATACCCATTACAAACTGTTAAACAAGAAATACTATCAGCATGTTCAATCCATAATTTCTTGTGATGTCTCCTAGTTTGAACATAATTACTCTGTTTCATAAATTTCCCAAGATAATCTTTTGTAGTAGGAAGTGTATCAATAAGCCTAAAAACATTCTCAGATCTTCTTGAAACTTTCCACACACGAATTCTACTATCTTGATGTGCTGTAAAAACTTTATTACCAACAGTAACAAGTGCTTTAACAAAACCATCCCCTGTTCCAAATTTAGTAAATTGTCTTAAATCAGGCTGTTGCCAAACAATTATGTCTTTACCTTGAGAAGCACTGAGGATGAATTCACCACATAGAGCTAAACAAGAAACTGTGCCGACGTGGCCTGAAAGAACAGCTAAGGATTTGTAAGAGTGGAAATTTGTACAAGGAATGTTTGGTATTCTTGAAATCTTGATTTGGAGATTTAGTAATTGGAAATCATTGTATCTTTGTGAAGTTGCTGGGCTTTCTTCTGATTCACTGCTGCTGCTTGTGCTTATTATGCTGCTTGATTCGGATAATAATGGCGTTCTATATGATGATGCTGTTGCCATTGAAGCATAAACTTTTTGATTTTGTATATGAAAGAGAGAGAAGTTGGTGTCAGAGGAATAGTAAAGATGGAGCTAAAGAAAATATAGAAATGGAGATTTTATAAAGAGAGACGTTAGAGAAACGATGAGTTTGTAATATATAGAAAGAAAATATTTATCAGAGAGAGACGTTATGGATTTTATGGGTAGAAAAGAACCATAGTTATTATTCCGATTCCGATAGTATGAAAATTTTAAACAGGACACGGATTGTTTAATAATTCTTAAACGAGGAATAGTTTGTTAAATTAATATTATAAATTTGTTTAATCTATTTTTCTCTTATTTCATAATTCCTATTAATCTCTGACATGATTAAAGAAATAACTTACTCTAATTATGATTACCTTTTTTCTGATATTTAGATAACACATTTTTTCATTAAGCAAATAAGGATTTAAATTAAATATTATACAGTTGCTATACAGCTTATAATTATAATTATAATTATTTGTATAGTTCTCGGAAATCTAAGTTAAATATTTTAGCCAATTGATAGATAATACATGTTTTCCTTGAGCCAATGGTCCATCGGAAACAACCTCTTTGTTTCTATAAGGTAAAGGTAAGATCTGCGTACACACTCTCCTCCGATTCATTTATAAGATTACACTGAATTTATTATTGTTGTTGTTGATAGACATACGGAAGAAACAAGTAAACCAAATATTCAACTGATGCAAATTGTCTCAATTTGCTCTACCATTCTATACTCCGTCACACTTCTAAATATTTAGAAAATTTTGCTAGCTTGTTCTTGGTAAAGGATATTTCATAATATTTCTAATGAGAATTAAGTGCCTAGTGTTATGAAACTTACTTTGTTTCATAATATGCTTACTTTGTTCTATTTTATATGAGACTCTATTTTTAGTATGTTCTAAAATAATAAACACGTTTTCATATTTAAAAAATATTTAATATTAAACTTTTCAAATTACAATAATAATAATAATAATAATAATAATTAAAAAAAAAATTTCAGTGCAATCCCACAAGTATGGTCTGAGGAGGGTAGTATATACACATACTACCTTTACCTTATGAGGGCAGAGATGTTGTCTCTGACAGACCCTTAACTCAAAAAAAAAAACTATTTTTTATTTTAAATCTTAATGACATTCTTAGAATCATAGAAATGTCATGACAAATTTAAACCACAAGTTTCAAGAGTAGTTCTATTATGTGCCAAAAATAATATCTATCTTTATTAAGAGAAAGTATGTTATGTATAAATTGGGATTGGATCTATTTATAGGCGAAGGTATGATTTGATATTTGTTGGTTCCTATAACAACCTCAACATAATATTTACAAATGATTACTTATTGTATACATGATAAAGGTAAAAACATATGAACCCGTATATTACATACTAACTCCAATTTGTTGGGGTAGGGGGTGAGAGGAGCGGGGAAAAGGAGCAGGGGCCACGGATTTCTTGCAAGAAAGGCAATAGTACTAATTAATGAAGAAGTGTACAATATGTATATTGCGTAAAGTAGTTAAGAAGGCTAGGGTGGTGCAACGGCTACTTGGACTAACACAATACTACTCTACAAGTTTTGATGAAAACAAGGATTGGACCCACCACCAGGTTTTCCTCTTCCCTTTTTAGTAGACAAACAGGCTGTGTTGAACTTTTTGGACCAAACATTTTTGGCTTTCTTTGTTTTATATGTGTCATGTGTTGACCAATGATTACCAGCCACCTCAATTGTTTGGTGGGATCGGATTCCAACAGTCCAATTTTGGTAATCCCTTGCCCTGGAGATTAAGGTAAAGATGTCTTAACGGCTTGAGCGGAGGGTTATACAAGCAGAGGTAAGGTGTACATATATTTCACACTTTCCAGATCTCACTCACTGAATATGTTATAATTATCATATGTTTTTCTCATAAGGTCGAAAATGTAACACCTTTATAGTTAATTTTGACTTTTTGTGTGTTAAACAGTCTTTCGAACATACAATTAATATTGAGGTAACTGTAGATTATTTGGGTGAATGATTACAGTTGAAATAGGAGGGGTTTGGAACATACTATTAATATCTTAGCTTTATATTAATTAACAAAGGAACGATTTAGACAAGATGTGGAAAACAAAAGATGTGAACTAGTGAACTACCAATACCTCCTTGCTTAAAGACTCGTGAAAATAAGTGTCATCTTTTATTATTATTTTTTGCATGGTCGGCTTTTGCAGTTAGCCTATGCATTGGTCGAGGATTCGTCAAGATTCAGCATACTGTTTATTTCATCCATGCAGAGGATAACTTAATTTCTTTGTTTGTAAACCAGGCAAAGGTAGAAGTAACCACAAGAGTATACAGTTGTTCCCCTTTGTTTCGTATGCAAAAATAAAAGAGGGAAAGAAATCGGAGAGAGTTCATCTTACTTTTTCAGTCCACCGACCAAAGAAAAGTGCGTAATTCCTGGCCACTTTGTTCTCCTTTTGATAAATAAATATATGCACATTGCTCTTTTAAATGAAATTGTATTATAAACTTGTTTAAGACAAAAAAATTCAAGTAAATACTAAAAACATAACTAAAACTCAAATGAGAGATAATAACTAAACAGGCACCTCTTCCGCTCCAATTTATATGATACCTCTTCAATTTGAGATGCCAAATGTTTGACACCATTTACTTTTATAAAATCTCAAAGATTCAATTTCACATTACTGAAGAAGGGGTTATAGTAAGCTTCAGGGAGTAGCTATAACTTCCTACATTTCATGCCGAACAACATATAAACCTCTGAGATACATTTGCCTTCTTGGTTCTTTACAATGAGAAAATAGATAGCACTATTTTGAAAAATAAAAGTTTCAAATCATTACTTTGCCTAATTACATTGCCTTGTAGATTTCGTACACGAAATACACGTACATTTTTTTTTTTAAAAAGCCTCAACGTCTAGCAAAGAATACTTTCGCTTAGTGCACTCATGAAGCAGAATTCTAAAGCTGGAAAGGTCAAGAACCATCCTGGTTTGGCGCTGAGAAGATTTTTCCTTTGTCTTGTGTGATTGAAAAGCTTAGCTTAGAGCTAGAGAAGATTGACTACCACTGTGCCGGCTTTAAGTCATCAGTCACCCCTTTCTGAATTGTACTGTGCTGTATTTCTACAGCGGGCAGAGCTCAGAATATCAACTCATAAAGAAGACTTGTAAGTGATCTAAGCAGCAAAAGACGCTGTAATCCCGTGTCAAGTCAAGCCAGAACTCCTTGTTCGTACTCTATCGATAATCATTTGTCTGCCAGACAAGTCTTCTGCATATCCAACAACCTGCATAGAAGAACGCATAGTTACAATGTGATATGATGTAAAAAAAATGAAGTCGTCGAAATCATAGTAATAAAAAGAATAAAATGAACAATATATGAAAACTAAAACACAGATCTAAAGTCGCCAATATCTAAAAGAGAATAAAAGTTCAGATAAGAAGAGCAGCTCTAACAGTTTGAAATGACAAAATCTCAAACCTGAGAGTCTGTCTGTGTTTCACTAAAGTGATCATACACATTTGCAGTTGCATCTCCGGAATGACCGTGGGAATCATCTTTTTTCTCAAACCTGAAGGGGAAAAGTAATAGCACTGAGCTCTCAATCAAAAAGAGATAGATACATGGCTATGCAAATCAAAAAAATCTACGCTAAACCATCACATTCAGAACCAGAGATAGAGCATTATGAAGGATACTTCAGAAATCTATACTAACTGTTGGATGAGAATGCGTATGACAAAAATGTAACTGTTCGCCAACAGACTGCACTTCCTAGATTGATGGTTCATCTTTTATTGCCTAGTGCCTAGATGTTGCTGGTCAGGCTTTCTACTTCATTTTCTTTTAATCCCAATCTTAGCCTGTAAACCCTAACACCAGACTATTTGGGCTGGCTTAGCTTAGTGGTCCTGGGACAGGACTTACCATTGCGTAATGTAGGCCAGCATACATTTGATTGGGTTCTCAAATTGAACTTCCAACATTTTCCCATGTCAGCCAACATACATAGTGTAAGTTCCATGTCTTAAAAATCAATAGATGGTATGCCGCTATTGCTCAAAGTAAATGTATTTGAAATCCTGGTAGGTAATAGCACTAACCAAGGAATTTCCATTTTCTAAACAGCCAACCGTATTAAGAGAATGAAAATGCATTAGTTAGTGGAGGTATTAGCTATCAACTTATCAAATACATTACATTAAGAATGTGGGACATTTCTAATACGACTGTCCAATTGTAACTTATTTCTAGCCTCCATAATTTGTCAGATTCTCAGGTGAAGAGCAAAAGGTGATGAGTGCCAACTGCAGCAGCAGTAAGATGAGAAAGTGAAGAGCAAAGACATCAGACGGCACCAAACTTGACCAAAAGCATGGAAAATTAGTCACCTGTTCGTCCAGTCGTTAGACAATCCAAGAGTAGTATGATGATCTCCATGACCTTGAGCAAGAATGTTACAACCAGATGTAAAAAGCTGCTTGAGAGTCAAAGGACTCAAACTTTACATAAGTCAAGAGTAAAATAAAAAGTAAGAAGAAAGCATTTTAAAAAAGGATACTTCTTTATCACACTCGATTCTTGATGGAGACTTTTGATCGTGGATCTAATGTCAGAAGCCATTGAAAACATTATTCAAGAATCAAGAGCCAGACTTCCACAACGCAAAAAACTAAAGATACTTGCTTCTCATAAATTACCTTGCTTGTTTGCTCCAATAAATCCTCTATAGCAGCAGCTACATCAGGAACTGCAGAAGAATCTTCTTTAGTACTTCCTATCATGTTCTTTTCTGGGGGATTTGTCCCGCAGAATGCATTATTTTCATTTGNAAAAAAAAAAAAAAAAAAAAAAAAAAAAAAAAAAAAAAAAGACTAAAGATACTTGCTTCTCATAAATTACCTTGCTTGTTTGCTCCAATAAATCCTCTATAGCAGCAGCTACATCAGGAACTGCAGAAGAACCTTCTTTAGTACTTCCTATCATGTTCTTTTCTGGGGGATTTGTCCCGCAGAATGCATTATTTTCATTTGATACGCAGGTCAATGAACAATTGGTTTCTTCAACCACCATGAGCCTTGCCTTCTTATTCCATCTACTTGAATGCTTCATTTCTTCATTTGCAATACTTCTACCAGCAAAAGCTTCAGTTCTCAGATTTATGAGTTCTTGGGGCTGGCTTTGAGGCTGGGAAGAGGTATCACCAGATGTCATCCTAACAGCTTGTGTGGGAAACTGGCTTGTTGTGCATACCCCAGCTTCTCGATCTTCAGAAGTGACTTCCTTAGGATAAAATGGATCTGGAGAAACAATTTTGTTCTGCTCCAAAACAACCATCAAGAAGCTACCATGAAGCTATAAGAATGGGGAAGAAGAAAGGAATACAAATATCTAGAAGGCAAGGACTGCACTAACCAGCTTGATACACTCATAAATCCACTCACAAGTGACTGGTTGTATTCCCCACTTACATGCAACCTCATATTTAGGGCCACTGATAAATTTACACAACAAATGTGTGACCCTTTTAGTCAATTTCTCAGCAAATTTGGCTCCAATTGTAAAACACAAATTTCTCAGCAACTGTCTTTCTTTCTCATCATACTGCGAAACACAGAAGCGAAAACTCTGGAATGCAGGGAAAGGAACTCGGCATGGAAGTGGAGAATAGAGGATGTGACTACCAACATCCAGCAAGCATCCATCCTTCATAGAAACAATATTCGGTTTTCATTAGCCTCAGTTGGAATATGCAAGAAATCAGTGAGTACAAAAGAGAGGAGAAACTGCAGGGTTTATATTAATCACTCTGCTACTTTTACAATGAATTACGCAGATATAACTTAGCATCTCAAGTTAAACAGAAAAGGACCAATCATCCTACCACTCCCCACCCTCAGGTTCAAAGGAGTATCTGAAGGACTTGCAGACTTTTAAAAAGGCAACAGGCACGATCATGAAAAAGACATAAATAAATAAAAATAAAGTTAAACCAATTCAACAATAAATATCAGTTAGATCATCATTATTGCATTATAATACTTAGAAATTAGAAATTAAAACACACATATTTCATGTGAATTGAAGAACATTTTCTCTGTTAGCAATTTGAAATTATAGATAGCATATCAATATATTCTCTAATGGGAGTCGGTCATAACTTGATGAGTCGATTTTAAATATGTTTATTCAAGCCCCAACTTAAGCTTTGCTAGAAATTTAGCATTTTGTGTGTACCTCATGCAAATTGCCATGCTTGTTTAGATGATGAAAGTAGGAAGGGATGGTCATTAATTGAGTGTAATAGAAACAAAGAAGCTTTTGAAGTCAAATGGCGAACGGCAACACAGAACAAATAAAGAAAAATTTGAAATTAGAGTGAAAAGCCACATACTCTATTAAGAGAATCATGACCAATCGCAGAGATGCACAACTCACTTTATGAGGAATCTGGACATGAAAACTGAAGGAACATTAAAAACCTAGAAATTTAGTCTCTAGTGGTTCAAACGACTCATCATTTGGACTCTCCTATGCAAGTTCTGTCCAACCTAACTGAAATCGTTCAAATCAAAGCATTAATGCAATTGCATCAACAAGTTATTGTGATTCCAGTAAATGTGCAGCATCTAAAATTTAGCATAACAAGCTTATTGCAATCACATAACTCAAAAGGAGCGTGCAATCTGAAATTTTGCTCTTTTCTTCTGAATTTAACAAGGTTTTATGGAAGAATGGGAGGAGGCCTATTTGGGAGCTTATATATAAGGTAAAGTAACCCTTATCACAAAGATTGTGCTAAGAGATTACAGAAGCTACAAGACCCCCAAAAAGAGCAAAAACCTAGTCTTGTGGTAGTTACAAGGCCCCAATAATCTCCACTATAGACTCTACATCTTCTACGAGAGCTTCTTTATACTAGAAGTGAAACAAAAATATACAGTTCATTTTGATCTTCGGTTCAGAACTAAATCTATCTTCAAAGCATCCTAATAAGCTCCATTCTCAAGGAATATAGAAAATAGGCTTGTACGCAATTCAGAAGATACATGCAAGTAAATTAACGTCCAAGGTTAATAACTAGAACATTTAAGTAGAGCATAGGAAGTTCAATAAATTGAACAGAGTGCTTGGGGAAAAAATATAGTTTGCAGATTGTTAAGTCATACTGTTTTTTGGTCGTGAAAATGCTAAACTGCGGAAGGTTTTTTTTTTTTGGATGAAGTAAGGTGTTATATCACCAAAAGCATCAAGAAGATGCATAGATACAAAAGTTGAGATGCATAAATAAAAGAAAGCTAGCCCCTTTACAGTGTGTCAATCTAAGACAAGGGAACAAACAAAATTCAAAAATTTTCTTAGACCAGCAAAAAAGATTGAGTAGGCATCTAGCTTTGAGAGAGTGATTTGGAGTTGAGATTCCATCAAAACATCTATTATTCCTCTCATTCCACAAACACCAAAAACTGCGGAAGCTTATAAAAACATTAGGAAAAGAAAAAAATGTAACAAGAAAAGATCTTGAGAGGCACACATTCAAGTACCTCCAGACAAGACTTAATCCAGTGACTTGATACAAAAGTAGCCGCAGCACCATCTTTCTCGGAGCACAACGTACCATGACACTCGACAGTGAAATGCACATTTGTTTCAGTTTGATCTTCCACCACCACTCCTCCCCCTTGACTAACCCACTCAACAATTTCAGCTCTCTGAACAGATTATGAAAACAATAATATCAAATTAGATAACTTATTATAGCAAAAAATGAAAGATTAAATGGAACTAGAGAGATGATGAAAAGCTTAAAGGCCATAAATCTCAGAATACACAACTAAACACTCTCGGATAAACCTAGACGCCTAACTAGTTAAATGATGATAAATGCATACATTTCCAGAGAATGAACCATTCAACAATAGTACAGAATAAGCACTGCTGGGCAAAGTAGGTACTCAACGGAATTATATTCCTTGTATGAGAACCAGAATAAATGAGTAGACATTAAAATCGAGAGGTAAGGTTACAAATTCCATGAAGCCTGTCAACTGGACTATTTGTGTTCATCGTTTTTATACAAGTTACAAGCTAAAAGCCACTGTCAAATACATCCAGAAGGTTATGTTTCTTACCACTAAAATATAAATGTCCAGCAATGTCAAGCTCCCAGACAATTTTTAGAATTTAATTGCCTATATGGAATTGCAATTTCCAGTCCTATCCACTAACTAGCCTTTCCATCAGATAATCGTTCGCACTTTAGATGAAGAACCCAAGAATTCTTTTGTTCACATTTTTTTAGGGTTCAACAAAATACCAACTAAAATGAATCACTTGTTTTAGGGAATGAACTTCAAATGAGCTTGCAGTTTGCGCTCCTGCATAGTCACATCCACAAATCTAGCTAATAATTTTTGAGAATTCAGAAAACCAAGGATAACTTTGGGTAATTTCAGAGATATGTATTCTATGTGAAACAGGAAAAGAAACATATCATCGAGGACTTAAAACTCAGCTACATTATGAGAAATCTGAGAAAACCCACCCGATCAACGGGAAATGAAGCTGAAAAGCAAAACCGCCTTCCCTCGAACACACTAGATGGCTTTCTACCATTAACAGCACAACCAGATTCATTCAGTAGCTTCTCATCTTTGTGATTAGAAGAATATGGCTGATGTTGAACCCCATTCTCTCTCAAAGAAGTTCTAATGTCATTCATATTTTCTAGTTCTTTGTTTTTGTCTGATGGCATTGCACATCCAGAATCTGTGCCTCTCCATGCATGTTCATCTGAAGATATAGTATGCCCATAGGATTTTCCTTGTCTTTTCATACTCGTGCTGGTTCCAGCTCCGTTACTACAGTGAATAGGATCTAGCGACCAAAATACAGAAAGTGGGAATAAGCTTGTGAAGAAGGTACAGCATGTAATATTTAGATGAGTGTATGTCTTTTTGTATGAGATGAAAGTAGGTCATTAGTGCTGTACAAATAGCTGCCTAGCAACTTGTACAATGTAAAATATTTGATTAACTGAAAAGTCAAAATGGTTATTAGACCTTTCGGAAGAAGTAAATCATAAGCAATATGCTTCCTTAGAACAGGAACTTCTTTCTTCTCACGGTCACAATCCTGCAGCCATTCTGATTTTACCACATGAACGACACCCAAAGCCGCAAGATTTCTTAATTCTTTGATTTCACTGCAAGATAATAGTCTTTACACAATAAGTGAGACTAAGAGTTTAACTGCACAACAATTATAACAGAATATACTTGCAAGGCATTGCACACAGATAAATATACGTGCTGGTGGATATTCATAAGATGCACATACAGATCACCTTAGCTGATAAGGACCTCATATCAAGACAAATAGAAGTATAGACCAACTGACAATGACTCATCCGATGATTAACATTATTATACACACTAGATTTTCTTTTTTCTTTTCACTCAGCCCCTTAATGTTTGTGGTTTTCTTTCGATAAGGTATAAATTATAATGTCAGGTAAACNTAGAGATAAATATACGTGCTGGTGGATATTCATAAGATGCACATACAGATCACCTTAGCTGATAAGGACCTCATATCAAGACAAATAGAAGTATAGACCAACTGACAATGACTCATCCGATGATTAACATTATTATACACACTAGATTTTCTTTTTTCTTTTCACTCAGCCCCTTAATGTTTGTGGTTTACTTTCGATAAGGTATAAATTATAATGTCAGGTAAACCCTGTTTACTTGTCTAAGGCTCTAAGCCGATGATCATGAAGGTCCAAAGTCAGGAGTAGATCTGAATGGAACAAGAAATTTTTCATCTATTTAATTGCATAGTCAAAAAACCTAGTTTGCCTGATTTTGGTCAAATAAGAGCACTCACGTATAAGTTTGATACAGTTATAGTTAAGTGATGGGCAAGTAGAATATGATTCTGCTGAATGTTAGAGCATATGTGTGTGGATTCAACCATGTCTAGGTTCATTGAAGTTGTAGGGGAAATGTTATAGAATATTTGTTCTTCGAAAAGGTAAGGTAATATTATAGAAACTAAAGGACAAAGAATGTGCTGTTACAGCTGTACACTATCTACATAAGCAAAAACAGCAAAACCATGCCTTTTCTAAACTAAACTCTATCCTTTAGGGCTTCTAGCATCTGTAAGACTGATTCAGCATCATCTACATGTTCCAGTCTACACCATGTGGAAAAAAAATACATTTTTAGGATTTATCTTAATGATAGAATCCGCAAAGTGTCTGAGGCTTTTGCTGTCCATGGCGGGTCTGAGGAAGGGAAGGGGTTGGCCTAAGAAGTATTGGAGAGAGGTAATTAGGCAGGACATGTCATTGCTTCAGCTTACAGAGGATATGACCCACGATAAGAAGATGTAGAGGTCGAGGATTAGGATTATAGGTTGATATATAGTAGTGTGTTCCTCCTAGGCTGACCAGTAGTACTAGGACTATTTTCGTAATTTCCTATTTATGATTCTTTATTATTACATGCTCTGGCATTCGTGCCCGTTACCATGTTATATTGTTGCTACTATTATGTGCTACTTGGTTGCTTTATCTCTACTGTTCCTTGAGCCGAGGGTCTATCGGAAACAGCCTCTCTATCTCTATGAGGTAGGGGTAAGGTCTGCGTACACACTACCCTCCCCGGACCCCATTTATGGGATCAAAATGGGTTTTTTGTTGTTGTCGTTGTATAGAATCCGCATCAGAACATCTTTTATTCCTTTCTGTCAAAATAGTCCACCAAATGCATGCCAGTACCGTGTTCCACCACCTATGTTGTTGATCTAGACATGATACACTGCAGACCAACAATGTTCATGAAGAGCTGCCACAGTTGGGATGTAACTTGGCAGTGCAAAAACAAATGACAAATGCTCTCAGATTACTTCCCAGATAGGAAAGCACTCACTGCATATGACCAGCTCTTTTTTTTCTAAATTTTCATGAGTAGGACAAGCTTCGTTGCTCATAATCCAAGTGAAATAGGCAACCTTTAGAGGGGAATTACTATTCCAGAATTGTTTTCAAGGCCAAGGCCTTTCTAGGTTCACTTCTCTTGTGAGATCTCTGTAGCAAGAGGACACTGAACAAATCTTTGTTGTTGGGCAGCCATCTGATTCTAGCTTCCAAGTTAGTAAGAAGTTGAAATGTGCTTATAATGGTAGCATATATCAGCAGCCGAGTTAACCTCCCAGTCATTGAGATTCCTTCTGAAGTTGATGTTCCAGTACCATTCTCTCTGTTTTCTTCCAAAGAAGCTGAAATTTTGCTGCCAATAAAAATAAATCTGGAAACAAGTCCTTCAAAGGCTCATTTCCAATCCACTTATCCTTCCAGAGGAAATCTTCTCGCCAGAATATTATATAGAGACGTTAGGATATTCAATATTCCTGAATATTCTATAGATACGCTAGGATATTCATTATTTACTTATAAAATAATTAGTTTCCTATTGGTCATAGAGAATGATTACCTACCATATAATATGTAGCTTAAGGCTCCTATATAAGACGCCCCCTTTGAATATTGTTAATCATATAAGCCGAATAAGTATTTTATCTTCTTCTTCTTTTTCATTGAATCAGAGCCTCTACAATCTTGGTAGAGGCTCAAATAGCTTTAGTCGACTACTGCGCGAGATTATGTTGCCTACTTGGCTATTGGTTTCTCTCATCCTATTCCCTTTTTTTGGCAAGCGACCACTAATTTTTCTAGCAACTAAAACCACTCCTTTTTTCAGAAACCGGTGTCGCTCTTTTTCAGGCAAACGGTTACTCGTCTATTCGGCGACTGTCGACCTCTTCTCTTCTTTCAGCTACTGGCACAGCTAGCTACTACTTTTCTTCTGGTATCCGATGCAACTCCACTCTTCTTCAGCGACTTGACCCATTCATCTCTATGGCAATCAATGGCGTTCCCCTCTTCGGCGATCAGCACCCTCTTCTCTGCGGCAACCGACACTGCTCCTCCCTCTTCTTTCAGAGACTAACAGTCTCATCTCTTTAGCAACCAGAGCCATACCTCTTTTCTTTCCACAGCAGGTGCTACTCCTTTTTTCTTCCAATAACCGAAAGCTTCTCCTCTCTTTAGAGCGACCATTCAAGTGACAACATACATCCTTCTCCCCATTGTTCTTGCAGCAGTTTTTCCACAAAGATTCCAGCAGTAATTTTCTATGTTTTCAAAATAAGTAAACTCAAATTGGTTTTCCCACTTTAAGTTTGAGGGAGCGTATTGAATGTTAGAGAATATGCGTCTGGATTCAAACATGTCTAGATTCATTGAACTTGTAAGGAAAATATTATAGAATATTTATAGGTTACCCCAGGATATTTTGTATTTAATTATGGAATAATTACTTCCTTGTTAGGCATACAGAACAGTTACCTACCATATGGTGCGTAGCCTAAGGCTCCTAAAAAGAAGCAGCTCTATTACATAGTTAATCATTCAAGTCAATGAACAGTATTAGACCTTCTTTTTTCTCTTATCTCAAATTCAAAGCTAAATACTGAAACACACGCCGCATAATGTTCAAATCAATC